CCCCCACCCCCCGGCCCCGGCACCGAGCCAAACCACGGCTCCGCGCTCCGCTGGTGGGACGGATGGGGCTCTACCCTCCCGAGGTCTGGAAATAGCACACCAACACCTAAATCATTAGTAGGAGCAAGGAGATACGTATCCTCCTTTCTAGGTCAAGCTGCTGTTACAACTCCAAGTGCACGGAGACCCAGAAGCGGATCAGGCGGAGGCACCGGCACAGCCGGTGACACCGGCCGAGGGGGTCCAGTCCCGCCCCAGCGTACACGTTCCCTTCCTGCCTCAACGTGCTCCTCTCCACGGTGGAAAGACACATCCATTACGCAGCCTCCACTAAATCAGGGGAGAACAGCCAATCCCCGGCCCTCCATTACGCTGTTATTTATTTATACCACATACCCTAAGATATATTAAGAATATTTAAATTTTAATACTGCAGAGGGGAAAAAAAAAAAAAAAAGTGTCAGCTCTAAAAATAAAGTTGTTTATTGAAAAGAAGCTAGAAGGGAAACCACTCACTAGTAATCCCATCCTGTCTCCCGATGCACCCACACGTTCTCGCCGGCTCTGCCCCCGGCGCTGCGCCGACCCTCAGCTCTCAGCCCCGCTGCCTCTCGAGCAGAGCCATGCCACACGTGGGCACCTTCTCCTTCCCAAATTTCCCGTCCCCACTCATGACCGGCCTGGCTGTCGCCCTGCCCTGTTATCCAGCCCCTTCCAGGTGAGGTTCCTTCCCAAAGGGAGGCCCTGGGGACGGAGGTCTCGCTTCACTGACCTCTTTTTTCAGTCTGATCCACCTCATCAGGAGAAAAATAGGTGCCACCCTTCCTCTGCAGGGCTTGGCAAACTAGGCTGGCGACTCTCCCTCAGCGTTTTTTCATCTTAAGCTTCAAAAATAAAAACTCCTGTGGCAGGATCCATCTAACAAATCTGCCAGAGAGACGCACGAGGCAGAAGAGAGCCTCCACCCCCGCCGATTAGGGGAAGAACTGGCCTTTTTGTTTCAATTACTTGTATGAGCAGATGACACCACGAGCTAGAGAGAAACCAAACCAAAAGCCAAGCAGCAGAGGCAGGGGTCAGCCAAGCCCCCATCCCTGAGCTCTTCTCCCAGCCGAGAGCCCTGTCCGCAGGAAGGATACTAACGGGAAGGTGGCGGCGGTGGCCAGCTTGGTGTAGACGGCGGTGCTGGGTGGACCCTGGCCATGGCAGGAGAAGAGGAAGGGTGGTGGGAGACAGTGCTTGTAGCAGAACTCTGCAGGGGAGAGCCCAGGCTGCTGACTCGCTTCTGGTAGGTCTGTCTTGGAGGCCACGAAGACACAGGGGATCTGACTGTCCATGTAGTGTTGCTGCAGAGACAGGGAGAAGCCCCAGCGAAGGGTAAGCGACCAAGCCCCAGGAGATCTGGGGCTGGCACGCTAAGGCTGAAGTCCCAGCGGGCCCCTGCCAGCTACCTTGTAAATACTGGCACAGTAGCTGAAGGACCTGGGGTCGCTCACGTCGTAGATGAAGCAGGCGACGTCGCAGGCTGCGTCCGACGGCTTCGCGAACCTCGTGTCGGCGCTCACCTCATACAGCTGGGGCAGGAGGCGAAAGGACGCGTGGCACGGCACCGTCCCAAGGGCATCGGCTCTTTCAGACCGTGCCAGGGCGACCGCAGCCAC